TTACAGTAGGAAATAAGCACAGTTGCATTAGCAGGTAGGGGTGATGGTGGGCGATACTTATCTGTCTTGCAGCTTGGTTGTTCGAATGAAGAATGGAGGGAAGAAATGGAAAAAAAGGAAGTCCACACAACCAGAACCAGCTAGAATGCGTGGGTTTCTTGACTGCAGATCAAGAGATTAATAGTAGAGGCAAGGGTTGGGGATAGCAAGAGGGACTCAAGAGGGGTAAAAGCAGACAGAGGTTGTCTTGGGGGAATGCTAGCTAGGAGGAGCCAGGTGAATGGTTCTCTCCTGTTATAGGGGGTCCAAAAGGTGGGCGGTACCTGTGCCAACCTCCTGACCCACCTACCTGTTAGTCCGTCCCAAAAACAATCCTATTGGTTGCAGGTAGGGAGGAAGGTTACCTAGGAGGGATGGCCAACATTGTAACCTAAAACCTTACTTGAAGGATTGGCATCTGGACAGGTGTGAAATCCAGGCGTCAGGATGCTTCCTTGTAATGCTGATGAAGTTGGCCAGTTTCATTGATAACCAAATGTCGATCTGGCAGGAAATTCCAGCTCAGGAACAAAGCAGTTGATGGGTGATACGTGACCACAAGCAGCTTTGCCATGGTGGCTGTTTTTCCCCAAAGTTGTTGTTTCATTGCTCACAATAATGGAGATTTGTGCTTCTTCACCAGGCTGTGCAACTGTGTTGCTGAAACCTATGTGCAGGAACCCTCTATGTGTGTCATCACAACAGGTGACCTAAAGTGTACAGGGGGTGATGGTGGGCGATACTTATCTGTCTTGCAGCTTGGTTGTTCGAATGAAGAATGGAGGGAAGAAATGGAAAAAAAGGAAGTCCACACAACCAGAACCAGCTAGAATGCGTGGGTTTCTTGACTGCAGATCAAGAGATTAATAGTAGAGGCAAGGGTTGGGGATAGCAAGAGGGACTCAAGAGGGGTAAAAGCAGACAGAGGTTGTCTTGGGGGAATGCTAGCTAGGAGGAGCCAGGTGAATGGTTCTCTCCTGTTATAGGGGGTCCAAAAGGTGGGCGGTACCTGTGCCAACCTCCTGACCCACCTACCTGTTAGTCCGTCCCAAAAACAATCCTATTGGTTGCAGGTAGGGAGGAAGGTTACCTAGGAGGGATGGCCAACATTGTAACCTAAAACCTTACTTGAAGGATTGGCATCTGGACAGGTGTGAAATCCAGGCGTCAGGATGCTTCCTTGTAATGCTGATGAAGTTGGCCAGTTTCATTGATAACCAAATGTCGATCTGGCAGGAAATTCCAGCTCAGGAACAAAGCAGTTGATGGGTGATACGTGACCACAAGCAGCTTTGCCATGGTGGCTGTTTTTCCCCAAAGTTGTTGTTTCATTGCTCACAATAATGGAGATTTGTGCTTCTTCACCAGGCTGTGCAACTGTGTTGCTGAAACCTATGTGCAGGAACCCTCTATGTGTGTCATCACAACAGGTGACCTAAAGTGTACAGCTCTCTGAGCCCATGTGTATGTGCACAGTCCATTGTGTAGCAATAAGCAGTCCATAAAACAAATATCAGGCTTGTTCCCTAACACCCCCGACTTATTTAAAGGCCCCCCTAGATTAAAAATCCTGGCTATGGGCCTACCAGTGGTCAATTTAATTCAGCATCCAATTCCATATAATATTTGTCTTGGAGAACCAACAAACAGAGGCCAAGGCGTCCCCTGATGTTACCTCCTTGCACTGATGTTCAAACCTTTACTGCCTCTGGGTGTAGAAATTCCCTTTAGTCATCATTGCTGGTTAGCCAGTGATGGACCAAACCTCAATCAATTTGTGTAATCCCCTTTTAAAGCCATTTATGCTGGCGGCCATCACTAGAGATGCTGCAGATTTCACAGTGAATGTGTTCAATAATTGCAATTACTGTGTTCAACAATGTCAATCGGACATGAGCTGATCACCAGGTTTGTTTTGTTATGCACCAAATAGCTAGAACGTCTGCCCAAGAGGTTTGCATTAGGTTTTTGAAAAACTGTGCATATGCAAAAACATTGCTATCCAAACAGACAGGCTAGGTTCAGCCTCTCCCTAAGAGCAGCCAATGAGAGCTGACAGAATGTTGACAGAAGGAGACCTGGAAAACAGCAGTTTAAATAATGACAGGGGTAAGCAGCAGGCAAGTAGACAACTTAAGAGCTGAAGTGGAAAAAAGGGTTTTTATGACTGACGGGAACTGTATAGAAAAGCTGCTTGGAACAGGCTGAAAATAGTAAATCTGTAACAAAAGGAGCCCAGTTCTATATGTTCAATGGAAGTGAAACATTGTTTCTTAGACTTTATTCCGTGATTTGCTCTTATAAGTAAAAGTTTCTTGTTTTGATTAACCCTGTGGCCTGCGTGTCTAATGGAAAGAAACACACACGCAATTTAATATCTTGGTCTATACACGTATATTAGAGGATGTGAATGAATAGTGGCAGTGAGTGATTATTGAAACAGTGTTTGAGCCCCAACCTCAATAACTCTGTGTGAGTGAGGGCTGATTATTAAAGGGGGCTGGGCTACCCTGTCTGTGGATGTCTCTGGGAGTGAGAGAGAGGAACTGAGGTGTGAGATGGTCATGGCTCTCTCTGTAGTTTTTAAAAGAGAGAAGGGTGATGAGTGTGATGTTCTGACCTATGTATAACCTGAAGGAGGGAGGTTGTAGAGGGTCGTAGGCCCTCTGTGTAAGTGGCCAAGGGGCATCACAGCTACTTATTTATTTATTTATTTATTTATTTATTATTTATATTTCTATCCCGCCCTCCCCGTAGGCTCAGGGCGGCTTACACGGTATGTCACTGAAACATACAGTAAAACAGTAAAAACATTAAAATATTAAATAACATTAGTTCTTAAAACATCATACATACACAACAGTAATTGGTGCTCGCCTCCAAAACCAGATGGCCGTCAAAAGTCCCGTTCTCTTTCAGAGTGTCCACATCTGATGACCCTATCCACAAGCTTAGGGCGTAGATAGTAATGATGGCATGATGATGGTGATGGTGGCGGCTCCTATTCAAACGCCTGGCGGAAGAGCTCCGTCTTGCAGGCTCTGCGGAACTGTGCTAGGTCCCGCAGAGCCCTGATCTCCTCTGGGAGCTCGTTCCACCAGATAGGAGCC